AGTTGTCCTCACTGAGAAAAACTGGAAGAAGGTACACAAAATTTTCAGCACTATTTTACAACTTCCTGTGAATATATAAAAAGCTTTTAAAAGACTTTGCTGTGATTTTTAACTCTGTTCTTAGAAGTAGGCCTGGGATTCGTGTTGCTGCATCCATAGAACTAGGGACTCCTTCTGCTTTCTCTCCTCTGGGATTCACTCTACATCTCTGGCTCCCATGGGTCTCCTCTTAAGGTTTCAGGTACTGATACTGCCAGCACCACAGTGCAACTTTGCAGCTGGGGCTGCCATCATCAGGGGAAGGAAAGAAATTACTAAAAGAAAATGAACCCAAAGATTTAATTCCCACATGTACTTCAATTTGCAAAGGCTCCCTTCCAGTCTTCTGGTGTGTTAGTCAGCTTTTGATCACTGTGACAAAATACCTGAGATAATCAACTTAAAAGGAAAAAAGGGGGAAAATGGAGGAAAGGTTTGTTTTGGTTCAGTTTCAGATGTTTCAGTCTGTAGTCACTAGACCCTGTTGCTTTGAGCTTGTGGGAATGCATGGCAGAGGAAACCTGATCATTTCAGGGTGACCAGCAAGCAAAGAGAGGGGAAGGGGTTGGGGTCCCAACATCTTCTTCAAAGGCATACCCCCAGTGACCTAACTTTCTCCCATGAGGCCCCGCCTCCCTAAAGTTCTACCACCTCCCAATAGCACCACAGACTGGCAACCATGCCTTCCACACATGGCCTTTGGGGGACATTCCAGATCCAAACTATATATAGAGTATGGCTAGAGAGATGGTTTTTCTTGGTGCATTTTTATGCAAATACTTACTGTACTGGAATTGACCTTGATTTGAGGGAGACAAGAATGGAAAAGAGACATGAGGAAATTTACCCTTGAAAGGGTCATTCTTCTTCATGTTTTGGCTCTTTTCTCCAATGCACCTGCTGTTGTTAACATTTCAATGTCCTCAGTTAGTTACTTGTTTATTTTGTACAGAGAGTTTACCTTATTGTTTTGTTTTTGTTCATTTGTTTTGCAACATCGGGGATTGAACTCAGGAGCACTCTACCACTGAGCTACATTGCCAACCCTTTTTTTGCTTTTCATTTTGAGACAAGAGTCTCACTAAGTTTCCCAGGTTGGCCTTGAACTTGCAATCTTCCTGCCTCAGCCTCCTGAGTAGTTAGGATCATAGGTGTGCACTACCACATCCAGCTTATCCAGAGATTTTCGCTTATGATCATTGGGATAGCTAGATTGTAGTAATCTTAATTTCATTTTGGCCAGCATCAAAAGGCATAAATACAATTTTTAACCTTCCCAATTACCTTGCAAAATCAGTATTACTTCTCCTATTTTAAATAGGTATAGTCACCTGCTGATGCCCATATAGCTAATGCTAAAGCTAGATAGATAGAAATGCTCCTCAATTTACAGTGGGGTTATATCCTAATAAACCTATCATGATTTTCATAAATTGTGAAAATATTGTAGATAAAAACGCACTTAATACAATTAACACTCCAAATATTAGCTTAGCAACACAGTGCACTATAGAGTATCTGTTGCTTGCCATGGTGATTACATGGTTTACTGGGACCTGTGGCTCACCTCCACTGCCCAGCACAGGGAGCAAAGATCATACTGCATATCACTATCTCAGGAAAATTTTTTTAAAAATTTAAGGACAGTTTCAACTGCATGCATATGCTTTTTCAACATCATAAAGTTTAAAAAATATATTAATCAAACCATTGTAAGCTGGTTAGACCTTTAGGAGGCAGTGCTTATGGGAGGTCCTTAGGTCACTGGGGACATTCCCTGGAGGGTATTATGAGACTGTAATGCCTCCCTCTGCCCCCTCTCTTTTTCACTCTCTGCTTCTTGGTTCAAGATTGGGCACTTACTCCGACATGTGCTCCTGCTATGATGTGCCACCCTGACAAGAGGCCAAATAAATGAAGCCACCTGGTCTTGGACTTGAGACTTGAACCTTCAGAACCATTGTCTATTTGTCTTTCTGTGTTTCTCAGTCCCTCTCTCTGTTTCTCTGTCTGTCTCTGTCCCCATCTGTCTCTCTGTGTGTAAAGTATGTAAGTGTGTGGTGTGTGTGTGTATTGTGTTATAAAGTTGTTTTTCCCAGAAAGCAGGAAAGGACAAATAGGAAACAGGAGATGAAAGGAAAAAAAGTGGTGGGGGGAAGAGGGTAAAATAGGGAGAGAAAAGAGAAGGAGAGAATAGAGAAAGTGAGGAGGCTTTTCAACATGGGTCAGGATAATACCAGGCAGTGACAGCTGTGCACTGAGCCCACCCCAATTACATGTATCTCATTCCTTCATGAAGTTAGTGTAAGCAAATTAGTCAGTCCAAGCAATGAAATAATTCTATCCCCCTTTGCAACTAGGGGCCCAGGCTTAAACTAACTAGCCTTGACTTTTTCTTATTGACCCATTTTATCTGCCTTGGTTGGGTGGATATAAAAATTGGCTGAAGATGATGTTTATTGTATAGTGGAGGAAATACTTTCTCTCTTCCTCTCCAGAAGGAATAAGGAAATATGTTGCTCCAATTGCTTCTGGTATTCATCTTTCAGTTGTGAGAGGAAAGAGCCCTGGGGACAAAGCCAGTGCATGAAATAGATGCTTGGTATCCTAAACGGAATCTTTTATTCCTCTGGATTTCCTTCTCCAGTAAGCTATTTAATTCAGGTTTTTTTTTTTTTACTTGCATCCTTAATTGTTCTCCCAGCCTTGGCTGCTCCTGGGGGATGTCCCAGGGGCCTCTCCCCAGGTGGGTGCTGGAGAACTTCCTGATTCTGTGCCCAGGATCAGAGCAAGCGACCTGTAGTCACAGGTGGGGTATCCAGGTGTGTTTGCTATTGTTCCTACTCAGATCTACATTCTGTATGCTTGTGAGTACATCCCAACTATCCTTAGGAAACCCCTCTGTTATTTTTTTTCCACAAAATAACCAATTCTCCAGGCAATAACCAATTCAACTGGGAGTCCTACAATTCAATTCATTTCTGACACTAACTATGCAAAGTTAGCATCAGATTCTAACAGGTTTAGGGGCTCAGTCCCATAAGACTACCCTCACTTCAGATACCAGCTGCAAGTATTAGATCCCCAAGTTACTCAGAATTCTGTTTTACTTGGCTACAAAGTCAGAAGTTCCCACACCCTCACTCCTTTCTATTATTTGCTAGAATAATTTCTATTTGTTGTTGTTGTTGTTACTGTTATAACAGAATACCACAGACTGGATAATTTGCAAAGAAAAGAAATTTGTCAGGAGTTCTGGAGGATGAAAAGTTCAAAGTCAAGGTGCCAGCATCTGGTGAGAGCCTTCTTGCTGCATCAAAATTTAGTAGAGGGCATCTCATAGAATCAGGGAAAGAGAGTAGGAGCAAGAGAAAATCAAGGAAGCTGAACTCACTTTATTTTTTTTAAGAATTTAACCTTTATTTTATTTGTTTTTATGTGGTGCTGAGGATTGAACCCAGTGTCTCTCACATGCTAGGCAAGCATGCTACTATTGAGCCACAACCCCAGCCCTGAACTCACTTTTATAAAACTCACCCTTGAAATAACTAGCCTATTCCAGAGATAATGGCTTTTATCCATTCATGAGGTGTCTGCCCTAATCACCTCCTAAAAATCTCACCTCCTAGTACCATCACGATGAGCAATAAACTTGAATCTGAATTTTGGAGGAGACATTTAAACCATAGCACTTATCATTACCAGTTTATTGTAAAGGTTACAATTCTGAAACAGCCAAATGGAAGAGATGCATAGGGCAAGGTATAAGAGATGCAAAGGGAAAGGAACATGGAACTTCCAAGCTCTTTCTGTGAATCCCCACTCCCTACCCCACTCAGCACCTCAAACAATGTGTTCACCAGCCTGGAAATTCTTTGAGCCTGTAATTTAGGGGTTTTGTGGGGGATTTGTTGCATTGGCATAATTTATAAAATCATTGACATTGGTGATTAATTCAATCTCCAGCCCCTCTCCCCTCTCTGGAGTTTGGCCATTAGGGCTGAGAGTTCCAACCCTCTAATCACATGGTTAGTTTCTTTGCCAACCAACCCCCATCCTAAAGCTATCTAGGGACCATCAGTCACCAGCCACCAGCCATCTAACTTGCAAAAAGAAGGTATTATTATCAGAAATCTCAAGAGTGTTAGGAACTATGTGCCAAAAACTGGGGACAAAGACCAAATATTTATTTTTAATTCTATCACACCATCCATTATCAGCCCATAGAGTTGGTTTAAGAGATTGCCACCTCTGCCTCTAGGAGTAAGCATATGGTGGGGTCTGGCCACTTTATCCGCTTGGTCATAGTAGTTGGCTCAACAGTGGACTGATGACATGTGTGCAATGCACCAATGAGACTCAGAATATGGTTCGGAAAGCCCATTAAAAAGAGAAGGAATTTCCCTCCTGCTGCTCCCTTCTGGGATTCTGATAGTACAGAATGTTCCTCCAGGATTTGTTGAGGGTCATCTTGCACCCATGTAGGGAGAGCCTATAAAAATAAAAAGACAATTATGATGAAAACAATATTGAAAAATCCTTTCAAAGCAGAGTTGGGAAGCCATCAAGAGAGAAGGACTTGTATGTGATTTCAGCTGCTGCCTAGGAATGTGCGCTATGGTCACCTGACTGTAGGCAGCTAGAATAGTCATCATGCCCAGAGACTCAAGATGCAAAACCAGAGATTATCAGAAATTTGTTTTATGGACACTTTTACTAAATATATACTTTTTTTCTTTTTAATCCTCTCTTGGTTGTAACAGAGACTTAGCCTACCTTTGCTAAAAAGTAGTGACTTTTTACCTAGACCTGCAAATGCACTATTGGTAATTGAGAGCAGGATAAAATTTGGCCTCTCTGCCTTCATCTTGTTCCTATCTCCTTTGTTACCTTACACTTTGGGTCAGGTCCCTACTTAGCTCTTCACATAGGCCTGTTAATCATTTAAGAAGTGTTTATCTGTGCTTGCTTTGGCAGTCCATATGCTAAATTTAGAATGATAGAGAAAATTAGCATGGCCGTGTGCAAGGAGGACACACAAATTCATGGGGAAAAAAAAGAATCCTCATATAAAAACTAGTAATAAATACAAGATTTATTAGTTCCAAATTTACCTGACCTATCTTGGACCCCGCTTTGGGACTGAGGCAATATTCAAAGTATTCTATTTCACCCCCTGGAAATGGTGCACAGGAGTTGTCAGTCATCACCCTCTTTCAGGATCACAGGTCTGATAGACAAACATCCTGAGTAGCCATGAAAATTGTCTCCTCAAGTAATAAGGACTTCTCTGGAACCACCTCCTTGCAGAATCAGAACTGAGAGAATAATCAATAAGACCGCAGTTTGATCAAGACTGCTTTATTTTGCATAACTCTTACACTTTACACCAATTCTTCCTCTATTTAAAACTGAAGCACTGGTCAGCAACCTGAAGACACAGCTGAGAGACTGGATCTCAATTTGCCTTCACCATATGGCTATACTGATCAAAAGTGTCTTTCACCACTATATTTTTTGCTTGTTTTGGTGGAGGACAAGTGACAGGACCTGGCTAGTTGGAAACACCAAAGTTAGACTTCAAGTCTAGGAAGCCAATAACATGGTTGCACAGCCCCTGTCACACAGCACCTGTTTTTCCTCAGTATCAATAGAAATTCCCTACCAAGGAATTTTTATTGCTTTGTACTCTGCCCATTTAATCTCCCACTTTCTCTGCTTTCTTTGAAAGACTGATTCAGAGCTATCTGAACCTGTGTTTTCTTAACTGCAACTCAAACAAAGTCCTTTTTACTTTTGTAGTTTCTGAGCTTGGATTGATTGACAAGCCCAACTGAAAATATATAAAAGCAACTCAGAAGAGAGCAAGGCCAAGAGAGGGACAGAGAGAGCCCAACTCTGATTTTATCATATGACTTCCTAGATATAGTTTTTGAGGTTACACCAATCTCCAAACTTTTCATAAATGAAAAGTTCTCCTCCCAAATCAGTTGGGTTTCTGATACAGCTAGAATAGACCCAATGATTACAATACATGTCACCCTGAGCCTGTGGTGTCAACATCCTGCTTTGAGGCCCTCCCTGACTGCCCTCCTCCCTAGTAACCAAAAATCCCAATGCCTTCATTCACAGAGTTGGGTCTCCTCAGGTGGGAGGGACTCCCTTTTTTAGGATAAACTTAATTTGGGAGTCTTTTAAAATAAGCAGTATGGGGGAAATTTCAGAATGACAAGACACCAGAACTTAAGAGTATTTCTGTGTCCTCCTCTGCTTTTTCTTTTTCTTTTTTTAAAATTCTTTTTAATTATAGATGGACACAATATCTTTATTTATTTATTTTTATGTGGTGCTGAGGATAGAACCCAGGGTCTCACACCTGCGAGGCAAGTGCTCTACCACTGAGCTACAGCCCCAGCCCCTCTCCTCTGCTTTTAGTCGACTTACACCAGTGAGGACTACATTCTAGATGTAAGTGCAATATAGATGCAAATAACAGAAAATCTTTCACAGGAAGAAATCTTTCCTTGGGTTTCAATAGAGAAATAAAATGCAGGAAGAATGTAGATGGCTGCCTCAGCATCTAAGGAAAGTCTTATCGGCAAAGTCTCCTTTGCACTTGCTTCTCCACTACCCTGAGTGTATAGCTTCCATGTTCATGATCTCATGTGGGCAGGAGGAAGGGAAAGATGTGACAGCAGCAAATCTCTCTTCTAGAATCCTGGAAATCTTTGTTCATTAGCATATTCCAAGTACCCAGAATTGCTGCTTCCTATAAATGTGCTGAATGAATAAGTGGAAACTCAGACAAAAACAATTAAAAAAATTTATCTCTTATACCCTGAAAAGTAGAATTGGGCATGAGAGAAAGGCCTGGAATAAGCACTTAATGACCCCTCACAGCATCTGCCACCCTATTCGCCATACTAGCATGTGATCTCTTTCTCTGGGCCTTCATTTTCCACAGAAGGAATCTCTTGGGGAGATTTTTTTCTTCTTCATATAACTGAGCAGATCTAGGCCCCTCGCTCCACTAAACTTTCTTAGGATATTCTTACCCACCACAGGGCATATGTTTCACTGAGGAGATGTGTTCTCCACTTTCTGTAACTTCTCCTGGGGTAGAAATGATTAGGATTGACATCTTATCGGGATTGATATCTGATTGTGACTCCAGTAGGTATCATGAGCTGGCCGGCCCCCTTCTGCCTTTAGCAATGACATTAAACACCAAGCTGACACTTTTTTTTTAGTGCTGGGATCAAATGCAGGCCCTTGCACATGCTAGACAAGCACTCTACCATTGAGCTATACACCCTCAGGCCTGGCACAATTTTTGAACTAGTACTTCTAAAAGAACATTGCCAACATACATATCCCATATGCTACAATAATGGAAGATTTACCTTAATAAAGGTGCCTACAGTCAAACCAAATTTATGTCTTTTTAGGAGTAAAAATAGAATCACTCAATGTATGGAGAGTGTTAAGGAGGCTTCAGGCCAGTGTTATGGGCTGAGTTGTGTCATCTCCTCCCCGCATCCCAAATTCACATACTGAATCCCTAATCCTCATTTGGAAATGGAGCCTTTGGGAAGTGTGTCTGTCAGTTTTGTTGTTTTGACCAAAATCCTGGCAAAGACAACTTAGAGAAGGAAAAGTTTATTTTGGCTCATGGATTCTGAGGTTTAGTCCATGGTGGGCTGTCTACATTGCTCTGGGCCTAAGATAAGGCAAAACATTATGGTAGAAGGGCTGGTGGAGGAGCACTCCTCCATTCATGGTGGCCAGGAAGCAGTGGTGTGGATGGTAAGGGACCACAGGGAAGGTGCTCTTCCAAGGCACACCCCCATGGACCCACGTCCTTTAACGGTGCTTCACCTGCCTACCATTTCCACCCATCCAGTCCATTCAAACTAGGATGGACTGATTAGGTTATGGCTCTTGTAATCTAATAATTTCATCTCTGAATATTCCTGGACTAACACAGGAGCTTTTGGCAGACAGCTCATATCCAAATCATCACAGGAAATATTAGGATTACATGAGGTCGTGAGAATGGTTTTCATGATGGGATTAGGGGTTTGATAAAAAGAGGAAGGGAGACATTGTGCTCTCTTTGTTGTGTGAGGACACTACAGGATGCATCATGTGCAATTCAGGGAAAGTCTTTACCAGGACCCAAATCAGCCAGTACCTTCATCTTGGACTTCTAGAACTATGAGAAATAAGTATCTGTTGTTTAAGCCACCCAGTTTATAGTATTTTTTTAGAGTGGTCTATCAGACTAATACAGATCTATAAAGGAGAACTTAATTAAGGGTCACTAGGAGTTACCACCCCAACTCTCTGCACTCTGACCTTCTGGCAATACCTCACCCTTCCCACCTTGGGTTCCTCTTAACACAATCTCACTACTTCTAATAGGTTCCTCAGTGTCCCTTGATGAATCATCAAATGATAGCATTTTTATCATTGCAAAAAGAACATTTTGAACATAAACACAACATTAAGGAAAGTAAAACACTCACCCCCTCCCAAATAAACTCAACTATTTTTGTTTTGATAATTCCCATCCAGTCCTTGTTCATACATGTGATAACCAGAGGTTTATTTCATATTCTGTTTTTGCATTCAACAGAACATTAGAAGCATTCTTCATGTTGCTACAGCTTTCTTGATATATTAATAGCTATATAATCACCCTCAAATTTGTTGCACCACAATTTGCTTAACAAATAAGTGAGTTTATTTCCAACTTTTTGTTCCTGTAGCTAATGCTGCAATCATCATTATTACATACAGTTTGTTTTTTCTTGTGTTGAATATTGGTTTAAAAGACACAGGTATCAGTTTAAAGCTGGTGTCTCACATTGTCCTGCTCCTGCTGAATCTCCAGGCTACTGGTTCTGGAAAAGCTGCTGGGTCTCCAACTATCAGACTCTCAGTTGACCACAAATGATCTGGAAGCAACACAGTCCCTTACCTGGATGATGTCTTTGGTGGTCTTCTGTTGCTATCACGAAATACCAGAGATTGAGTAATTTGTATAGAATTTAGCCCACAGTTCTGGAGGCTGGGAAGTCTAAGAACATGATGTTGGCAACTGCTCAGCATCTAATGAAAGTTTTTTTGTTAGAGAGCATTCTGCAGAGTCCTGAGGCAGCATGAGACATTCATAGGACAAGACAGAGCAAGCATGCTAGCTAGCTTAGGTCTCTCTTGTAAAATTACTGATGCCATCATGGGGCCTGTCTACTTCATGACTTTGTCTAATCCTAATTATTCAAAAGCTCCAACTCCAAATACCATTAATGTGAATTATGAGATTAAGTTTCAAGATGAGTTTTTGCAAGGATAAACACTCAGACCATAGCAAATGACATGTCTAAAAAGAGACTCAGACCCCTAAGTTTATTTTAGAAGAAAGCAGCCAGATGCTCACCCAGAGGGTGGTTCTTCATTTTGTTATGGGTTGATGAGCCTTGAGCTGAAAAGCTCTTCATTTTCTTTGGCTCGAAAAAAATGTAAGGTTTGTGTTTTTTCAGTTTTTTTCTTTCTTCCTTCCTGTTTTTTTTTTTTTTTTTTTTTTTTTTTGTTTAAGGATGGACACTTTATCTCTGGATGGTATCTATGTTTGGAGCCCAGTGGATGGGATGGGGGCTTGATGTCTCTCTTCTCCATCCCACCTGCTATCTGTGAAGTGTGCTTCTATTTTTCCCTCCAGGCAGGTTCCTTCCTTAGAAGAAGTTTGGCTGTTGGACTTTCAGAAGAGCCCCTTAGAGTCAGGAGCCTGGCAGGAACAGGAAGGAGCATGTCCAGATGTTGACCTTTTCGGGAAAGAAGTACTTAGATAAGCTTATTTCCTCCTCTGGCCTAGGAACCAAGACTCTACAGAAAGAGGGTTGGTGCCTGCCTGGTGGGTCTTGGAGATGGGAGTCTCTCTGACTCCCCCAGGGGCCCTTTTCCTTTAGGAACAACAGCTGAAGACTGAGGCTCCCATTTTCAGATCTTTGACATATTCTAGAGAACACTAGGAGGGGGGATCAAAAAAAAATTAAAGAACACA